TGAAATTTGAATTTGCTTACTATCACTCAGCAAGTTGTAATCATCCAAAAGCTGCCACAAATCCTGAATAGCCAATTTTGCCACAAATCCTAAAATTCTGGAATGCAGTAGCTCCCCAAATTTTAAATCACAAATTAAAACTCATCTTAGTTTCCATTTTGTTAGCAGAATCCATATTGCCAAGTTTTATGCTCTGCAACACATAATTAATTCATCCACTACAAGTATTCAGAGAGAATGTAAAACCAAGACTAAGGCAATGAATCCAATAAATACATACATTTTCTTTTGGCCGTTCTGTAGGCATACTAACTGGCTGGCAATGGAGAACCTAATAATGAGTAATTAGAGAAGAGAAACAATATTAATTCAAATATGGAAAATTCAACAATAAAATTACAAAGTAGGAAAAACATAGGGATTTAGACTTAATGAAATTATGAGATCAATAGGGATAAATGGAATTAGGAATTTAGGGATTAGGGTTTAAGATTTGAGTAATATAAAAAAAATTGACAAAGAACTAACTTGCAGGACGGTGATGGCGACAGGTACGAGAAGAGGAGTCCGCAGTCTTGATGGCGGTAGAGGCGGGAAGAGGCGACTTTGGTTGAGGAGCAATGGCGACTGGAAGAAGAGTTCGCAGACTCGACGGCAGCAGAGGCGAGAAGAGGTGACTTTGGTGGAGGAGCGATGGCGACAGAAAGAGGATTGCAGCTTAGGCGTTGGCTTACTGACTAGAGGCAAGGCTGAGACAAAGGGAGACTGGAGGGTTGAGAAGGCTAAGGGAGCGATGGGAGAATTTTTTGTTTGAGAGGGACTAGTGTTTTTTGCTAAGTGTTTAAGAGAAGGAAGTTAATTATTTTTTTCTTTTATTTTTATTTTTTAAAGAAAGAATAATATATCTAATTAAGCAAATTAAAGTAAGTTTTTTTTTTTTCTAAGTCTTCATGCTTTTCTAAATTAAGTATCTAGGATATAATCGTCTAAATATATAGTAAAATATAATTATCAAAGTGTCATTTAAATTGAACATTTATCCATTTAAAAAATGCACAGAAAGACAACGAACTTTTAAAACCATTGAAGTGTTGTGTATTCAATGTGTGTTTAAAGAAAGGGAAATCAAAACTCAATTATTATCTTTTTTTAAGAAAGAATAACATATCTAATTAAGCAAATTAAAGATTTTTTTTTCCAAGTAAGTCTTCAATTTTCTTCCAAATTAAGCAATTATCTAAAATATAATCATCTAAGTATACGTTAAAAGTAAAAATTAATTATCAAAGTGTCGTTTAAAAATAATCATTGTCCTTAAAGACAACATACTAACGACAACGGACAATTATGCAAATAAAATCGTTGTCTTTATTTTTTCTAAAAAAAGCCCCAAAGACAATGTACTTTTAAAATCGTTGCCGAAGAAATGTTGTGTATTCAAAGTGCGCTTAAGACAACAAATCAAATAAATAAAACCATTGTCTTAAAAAAATGTTTAAAGACAACGATTTTACAAAACCATTGTCTTTTTAAAAAAAAACACAAAGATAACACAACGGTTTAAAAAACTAGTGTCTTTGTAGTGTTGTGTATTCAAGTACGCTTAAAGGCGACACACCAACGACAACGGTCATATAAAACCGTTGTCTTTTATAAAAAAAAAAAAAAAAAAAAAAAAAAAAAAAAAAAAAAAACATAATGCAAATAGACAACGGTTTTAAAAACTCTGTTTTTGGAGTGTTGTATATTCAAGTGCGCTTAAAAACAACACACCAACGACAGCGATTAAATAAAACCATTGTCTTTAAATAAAAAAAATGCACAAAAACAACGGTTTTGATAAACCGCTGTCTTTGAAGTGTTGTGTATTCAAGTGCACTTAAAAGACAACACACAAACGACAACGATTAAATAGAACCTTTGTTTGAAAAAAAAAAAAAAAAAGAAGCAGGCAAAGACAACGGTTTTAAAAAACCGTTATCTTTGAAGTGTTGTGTATTCAAGTGCGCTTGAAGACAACACACCAACGACAACGGTTACATAAAACCGTTGCCTTTATTTTTAAAAAATGCACATAGTAGACAACACACTAAAGACAACGGTTCAGTAAAACTGTCATCTTTGACAAAAGTGTTGCGTCAAAGACAATAATTTTGAACAAAACTGTTGTCTTTTGCTGCATTTTTGGTTCAATAAAAACTGCCGTCTTTGACAAAAATGTTGCGTCAAATTGTCTTTTACGCAAAAGACTACACTTTTGTCAAAAACTGTTGTCTTTCTGCATTTTTTCGACCACCTTTGCTTTGTGGTTGGTATTTCCGACCACTAAGTAAAGGTGGTCGAAAATTCCGACCTATTATCCCACCATAGTCCTTGAACGAAAAATTGAAAATTGTCACCTTTTCTACCATTTTTTACGTAGTCGAAAAATAAAAAATTTCCCGCAGTGTTTATGAACTCCTTCCAAAGCTAATCATCTTCCTTTTCATCTTAGAGAGAATGGTGAAAACACAAAATGTCCTAAAAGGTTCTTTATGGAAGCCATGAATTGACTAGAACGGTTGGATCTTCTCCCGATAGCTTCAATTCCTTTTAAATATATCCATTCATTTCGACTCCTTTCCTTCTGACGAGTCTTGAACAACTTCGGGTGAAACATCTCCCGATTATCTTATAAACTCAAAAGAATTTACAAGAAAATTTGAGGAGTAAACAAAGATTATACATTTCTACTCAACATCACCAAAATCTATATAAACATTTATTCGTAACACATTTCTATAAACATTTATTCATAATACATTTTTTTTCTTTCTTCCTTGTCAAAGGAGTGTTCATCCCTCTTTTGTTGTCTTGCTATTATTTATCTCCTCCAATTACATTAATTCATAATTCATTTAATTTATTGGAATAAGGGTCAAATAGGCCATCCAACTACACACAATAATGCAATTAGGCCACTGAACCTAAAAAAGCAACAATTAGATCCCTAAACTAACAATTTTCTTGCAATTAGTCTAATTTATAAGTTTTCTAGGTTGCTAGCAGGTCACCTTTTAATTTAAAATATTTTTTAAAATTTTATTATTCAAAATAATTATTTAAAATTTAAAAAAAAAAAAAAAAAAAAAAAAATGAAGATCGTCTCCGGCCATGGATTCGTCTCCATGGCCGGAGACCTCTTCGTCTCTGGCCATGGATTCGTCTCCATGGCCGGAGACGAAGAAGTTATCTTCGTCTCCATGACCGGAGAGAAGAGACTCTTCGTCTCCGGCCATGGAGACGAAGATAACTTCATCGTCTCCGGCCATGGAGACGAAGAGTCTCTTCGTCTCTGGCAGTGGAGACAAAGAGACTCTTCGTCTCCATGGCCGGAGACGAAGAGACTCTTCGTCTCCGGCCGGCCAGAGACGAAGATGTCTCCGGCCATGGAGACGAATCCATGGCCGGAGACGATCTGTTTCCTTTTTTTTTTTTTTTTTTAAAGTTTTAAATAATTATTTTAAATAATAAATATTTTAAAAAATATTTTAAATTTAAAAAAATATTTTAAATCCAAGGTGACCTGCTAACAACCACAAATTAGATTAATTGCAAAAAAATGATTAGTTTAGGGATCTAATTGTTGTTTTTTTAGGTTCAGTGGCCTAATTGAATTATTGTGTGCAGTTGGCCTATTTGACCCTTATTCCTAATTTATTAGTTGTTATTATAAATTATTTATTATAATTTGTTGCCTTTTAAGTAATGAATAATAGCATTTTGAAATTGTAATTCACGAAAATTGAGTTTGTTATTTTATAAAAAATTTTATAGTCTTTTTTCTTCTTTTGGGAAAATGGCACTTTTTCCCCCTATGTTATATACTTATAGCACTTTTTCCCCCTCAATTATTTATGTAAGCACATTAGCCCCCTCAATTATTTTAAAAGTGGTGATTTTCTCCCCTAATATATTAAATTGACATTTCTACCCTTAAAGTAAACATTTTATTTATTTTACTTCTCCAACAAATTATTGCGTATATGTAGCGATTACCACGGTTCGGTTCGAACTGAACCAGACACTATAGCAATCGAATTAAAAGTTTTCAGTTATGATTCAGATCTAGAACCCAATATTTGGATTTCAATTTATTAAATTTAAGAATAAAAAAAAAAACTGGATCATGAACCGACGGTTCCAGATCCCGTTCACGATTTTGAACCATCTTTATTTTAAAATTTTATTTTTTATTTTAAAATAGTTTAAATTCAACAATAAATGTATTTTATTTTTTCAGTTTGGAACATGAACCGCCCATTCCAGTTCGTGATTTTAATAAACTCTAAATATCGCGTTTTGATCATAAATTGTAATTGGAATATTTTGGTTTGGTTACTATAGTATCTGGTTTGAACAAAATTATAGTAATAATTTATTGGAGAATAAAAATAAATGAAATATTTATTTTAAGGGTAAATATGTCCATTTAACATTTCAGGGGGAAAAAAGAGCCACTTAAATAATTGAGGGGGAAAAAGTGCTATAAGTATATAACATAGGGGAAAAAGGTGCCATTTTCCCTTCTTCTTTTTGAAGACATCTCATTCAATTCTCTTTTAGGTGATATGACACTGAATGAGATATTTCAAGCCCTCATTGGTATCACACCTCCTTCAATATTAGCATTATTATTATTATAATATATGCTAATCGATGAAAATAAATTAAGAAAGTAGAGAAACAACGATGACCTGATGATGAGTAAAAATGTAATCCATTTATATATCTCCACGTACAATACATAATTAAAGAGTAATTATAGTACTAAACATGCATGGTGATAATATAATCAACATACATTTAGAAAATGATTTCCCCCTCGATCACTTCCCGTTATAATTAGTAATTACTCTTCGATCTGCCACAATGCAAATTCAATTCAAATAATCCCCCATTAATTATTAATTATTAATAATTACTTTTATATTTGAACGATACCTCTCCATAAATGCCATTGCCACTACTTGGGACTTAAAAGATGCATCCGCCTTTGCAGAGAAGTCTGCCCAAAGACCGCTTTTTCTCTCCGCGGCCGCGAACTTGCATTGTTCCTCTGCCCCCGCAATTTTGTTGAGCATATTTTCCTCCACCACATCAACCGAGAGCTTTTTGGAAGCAATGTCGAAATAAACTTTACCAAGTGTTTTAACCATGTCGTTGGTTGATTCCCAACAGCTCTTCAAATCTTTGAGCTCTTTCTTGTCCAGAGATTTATCAGAATCTATTTTGCTCTTGAAATCCTCAACGACTTTGGCTTTCTTGCGGGCTTCATTTACAACGATTGCCGCGGCTTCCTGCTTGTCGCAGCGGGCGAGTAGGCTGGCTTTGTGACCAAGGAAGTCGCGAGCGCAGAATGTGACAAAGGAGCGGGCACTTGGGCGTGGGCCGAGGGCTTCAGAGCATGCCTTGACAAGTTGGGTTTTGTCAGATGAATGATGATGAGCGGCGACGGTTAATGCCACGGAGAGGATGAGGAGGATAGAGGGAAGGGCGGCAGTTTTGGCAATGGCGGAGGCCATGTTAATTGTTAATTAGGCAGATTGGCCCGCAGAGACCAGATAGGAAATATATATGTGGAGAAATATAATGGCCTGGCCTGGGGTGATTTTACATGCATAGGATTGTGGAGTTTAAATACATAGATAAAGAATTACATTTTTGTGTATGAACGTAGGATCTAGCCTCTAGGAGAAAGTAATGGATATGAGAGAGTATAGCTAGGTAACGATATCATGAAGAATAGTTCTTATTACTTTGAAATTTTAATTCACTCATGTTTTATTTGGGTGAATTAAATTAGTTGTTTTTCTACCCGTGCATCAATTTCAACGGTCAAATGAATTGAAATACAACTAATACAATATAAACTACAAAACAATATTCTAGTCTATAATATAATGTAATAAATTGGTACCAATTTCAAGTTTTGTCATGAGACATGTTGGAGAAATATGAATTGTATATGTCTTTCTTGAATACAATTACAGAGGAAGAACTCCTATATATACAAATTGTAGGATAAAGAAAAGGAAAGGCGGTGGAAAGTTAGAGGTTACCTCTAAGGTGAGAGGTTTGAAAATAGTTTTATCTGAGAAGAGGCTAGCTCAGCTCTTGAGCCTGACCACTACGGGAGTTTCGCAGTACAGTGGTAACTCCTGGATCGGAACGGATAACATGGGCTACCGAGACTACTTGAGTTATCTGTTGGGTCGGACTAGTGGTTTTACCCCAGCCACGAGACCGGAAAGGAAATGGTTGACTACTGAACAGAGAATCTTGGTTATGCTTGTATCGGACTGTCTGTTGCCCAATAACAACAAGAGTTGTCTGTTTGGGAAAGTTAGAGTGCACTTTTGCCTTTTGTTTGTAGAATATGATGATGTTCAACCTGCCTGCCTTAATGTTGCAACATATGGTCTTTTGCCGAGATCATAACCGGAAGAGTCTGCCGTATGGAATGGTTTTGAGCTGGATCTTCGTCAAGAAAGGAGTAAGTGTTGACGGATGCGTATCGAAGCCAGTGGGCAAAATGGTGTTGGATGCCACCAACCTGCGGAGTTGCAATCTGTTTCAGATGGATGACGGAGAGTACATCACGGTTGAGGAAGTTGCCCGGAAAACCCCCGATGAGAGAGACGCGTTGGTTGCTGAGCTTGAGATTCCCATTGGGAAGTTGAACCTCGTAGTTCGGAGCTTAGGAGGAGATGCGGGGAATGATGAAGAAGAAGACCAAGAGGAGGATGCGAATGTAGGAGAAGCTGCTGTAGTCGAGGAGAGCGACTCTGAAAGCGAAGAAAATCTAAGAAGGAAGGAAACTAGAACCAAGAGGGAACACGACTCCATGACACACGAGGAGCGTGTAGTCACCCTTCTTCGCCAGCAAAACAGGATGATAGAGGAAGGCTTTGCTTTTATGAAGACGCAGTTCATCGCGGTTAACCAGAAGTTGGACCATCTTGAGGCCGGTTCTAGCCGAAGAAGAGCCAGTGAAGATTCAGACGAAGACACCGAGGAGTCGGAGACCGAGTCTTTCTAGTTCGAAGTTGTGGTAATCTTGTCTTTCTTTCCTCGCTTGTTGTTACCTTTATGTTGTTGTCGCTTGCTAGTTGTTTTGTTGTTTTCCTTGTGTGATCTTCTTGTTTGTTAGTTGCGTTGGATAGTTAGTTTTGTGGGTTGTTTTACTAGGATCTAGTTGTGTAGAAATCTAGTGTTGTTTAGAAGGTTTTGGTTGTTGTGTTTGGCCTTAGTGTTTGTTGTGCTCAAGAACTCCGTTGGTTATTTCTTTCAACCTTACAATGCCATGACTTCTTGACCATTTTGCACCTTTTTGAATTCTTGAAGTTTTGGTCAAAAGATGTTTTTGATTCTCTTGTCACATTGTTGTTTCATGTTGCTATTTTGTTTGAATTCGTCGTACCCAAGCTTCGGGGATGAAGTTTCTTTTAAGGGGGAGAGGATGTGACACCCCATAAATCCAAAATCTATTTAAGATAATTAATCCTAGCTTAATTGGTAATTTATTCCTAAAATCCTGAAAATTCAATAGTCAGAGGACTAGAAATTGACTAGTCAATCCAAGTCAAAGAGTTGTACTCTATGCCTTATGAATTGTTCCCTTATCTCCTTACACTTCCCGCTTTAGTAAGGGCAAAGAAGTGTTTTCACCTTATATTTGTGTCCCAAGCTAACCTAGAGTCATCCTTTATTTCATTTCCCTAACACCCTAAACACAAAAGCTCCACCTTCTCTCTAGAAAATTGTTAGCTTCTTCTTCAAGCCAAGTTTTGGGTAATCCTAGATTCTTCAAGGATCTTACCTTCTCTCTAGAAAATTGTTAGCTACTTGTGATTTTTGTTATGAAATGTGAGATTTGATGCATTGTCTTGTGAGAATGCATATCTAGAGCTTGTTATTAGGATTCTTGTATGCCATTGCTTGGTTATTTCTTGAGTTCAAGTCATATTGTTGTATTTTGTGATACTTTGGGTGTTTTGGACTTGGTGTTGAAAATCCCCGAAGGTATTATTTTTGGTACAGGGTTGTACCCGTGGGTGGAACGGCGGGCAGTGGCCTATCCGCCGCCCCACCTGTGGGGTACAGGCCTCTCGGGTGTTGCTACCCGCGGGCGAAACCACGGGTGGAGGTCTACCCGTGGCCCCACCCGCGGGGTACACATTTTTGGTTGTTCGGGGATTTGTTCCCCGTGATTCTTTTGACTCGGTAATCGATGTTTTGACTTTCCGATGTTGTTTTGTTGGGCTATTTGAGTGTCTTCTTGATGTTCCGTATGTCTAGAACGGTATGTTTGGAATTCATGTAGGATTTGGTGTCTTGAATCGTGCTAAGTGTTCAACTTTGTGATTCGTTGAACCATGATGAGTCTTGTATGTTCTACGGAACTATGTTTGGTTTCTCCGTTTGATAAGCATGCTAGGTTGATGTTGAAATGCTAGTGTGTGTGGTTTGTTCTTTCCTTTTTGAGGATGGCAACTTGTGTTAACCATCGTTGGTGTCGGATTGTAATCCTTTCTTGATTGAGAATGGTTTCATATCTTTGTTGTGATCCATTGATTGATTCCTGTGATGAAAATGTGTGTATTGGCTGTACCTTGATTGCACGGTTAATGGTATGGGACATTAATCACCAAGGTACAGATGTGGTCCTCGTGGTGGCCATGAATTGAGTTTGGTGGTTTGTTATTTGAGCATTGCTCATGAGTTTGGCAGTTTTGTGATATGATATTGCTATGTACCCTCGTGTACAATTTTTTTTCAAATCGCGTATTTTTATGTATTTAGATATTTTAAGCAATCTTTTGAACAATTTTACAACCACTTTCGTATATATTTTCTAAGAAATAACTATGGAAACCTTATGTTTTATTACTAAATTTTGAAATTTTTTAATTTTTAATTAAAAAAATAAAAATTTTAAAAAAAATAAAAAATCAGCGCAATCGGCGCCCTAGGCGCTAGGCGCCCCCTTGCCGCCTAGGGGGCGCCTAACGTTTTTTGCAACATTGATGCCGTCTTTGACTTCATCAGTTGAAATTGCTGAACCAGGTCCAGACTGACTGCGCAGGAGAATTCATACGTTCAAAACAGCATAGAACCTTGATATAGTACTTGCAAGTATTTGGAAATTATATGTCTTAAAATAGCCTCGGAGTTCGCAATTTCCAGAAAGGGAAGTGTTTCCTTTTATAGCTTTAGCCTTCATCCACCTTCTCCAAAATAATAGCCATCCACCACCACATAAATTATACAAACTCCATAGGATAAATCACCATCACAAATAATTTCATAGAAATAGCTTTTAACTCATCTGACATGTTGACTTCCCATCCAAATCTATGAACACTGATTTCGTTCATTCCAACAAGACCGTAAAAGCAAATCCATAAGATAGGAGACAGTCCATGGCTTTATTTTGAACAAGATCAAATTTAATTGTCACATAAATTGCCAACCAATTATAGGATTTATATCACCCCTGATTTTAAGCACAAAGCAAGGCAAATTAAAGCTTAAGTATAAAGATAAATCTAATCATTAGCATAAGAAGACACGGAAGCTAACGGTCAAATCGGGAAATGTCACACCACATCTAACTAAAAGCTAGATGCACAGTGTAACACCGCAGATTTTCGAAACTTTTAAAACTTATATAATAAAGGTAATTTCTCATTAAATCTCAAAACAGAGCATTACTAATCATAAATGTGCGGGGTGCTATGCCACATCTGAGCTGGAGAACTCAGATGCACAGGCTGAACTAACTAAACATCTTTAAAGTAATGTCAATACATCATCATGGCACGCAGGCCGAAAGGAAAACTAACTAATCTACGCTTCGGATCTCTAGCGCGCTCCGGGGTCTACTCATCTATGCCTGAAAGCCAAATATATCTGTTCAGCGAATGATGCTGGTAACCCACTCCAACGCGTTGAAATACAATATAGGTATATATATATATATATATATATATATATATATATATATATATATATATATATATATGAAAACCATTTTGGAGCAGGAAGATATATACTTAGGAGACTCTAGCTTTTTAAACTCGGGATAGACTCGACAGATAGGGATAAACACATTAAACAATGATAATCAATTATATAGAGACAACATCATAAAAACATGTATCTAAGGTCACAGTTCACTTTCAAATCATTCTCATCATCATTCGATCAACATCCTTGTCACACAAGCACACTTTGGTGGCGCCACGGGACCAATCGCATGCCCCAAACATGAGGGTTAGTGCATATAGCATTAACACGGCCTCGCAGCACCCTACCTCATACCTCAGCATGAAGGAATTGACCGTAGCCAATTGTATAGACCGTCGATAGTTTCAACGGCGGATCACAACCCTACACACCGCTAACGCGCTCAGTCAGTGGACTGTGATCCTCTTTTGGGGATTGCGACCTACACACTACTTGACGAGCTCAGTCGGTGGGTCGTAGCTGATCAAAGCCCTACACATCGCCTGAAAGACTCATTCGGTGGGCAATGATCTTTGGGGACTACGACCCTACACACCGCTGGCACATACACTCGGTGGATCGC